TTTCACCTTCGAGATAGAGGAGATATGTAATACGCGTAGTGGTGGTGTTGGTGGTGCCTAGTTCTTCTTCCTGCGGGCTGCACTGCGCGCCGCGCGCACCAGTCCGGGCGCCGACGAGTCCAGAGTATATAAACGCTCCCCGCGGCCCGGTAAAGCCTCTCTGCCTCTCTCTCGTACTCCCGCTCTCTTTTCTGCACGCTGCGGCAGCAGGCGAGGAAATAAAGTAGTAATAAATTTATTGACCCAACGTATTTACTACGTGTATATATACCGCAGTTTCTCGCAGTCGAAAAAGAGGAGCAAAAATAAAAGATATAAAAACAACAACACTCTATGTGTGTGTGTATTACACAGAACGGCAGCAGCAGTTTTCTTTTTCGTTGGTTGCTCTTCGCTCTCCTTTTGCACTGCCTCGCGAATGGTATGGCTCGAGGCTCTTTCCATATCACGTGCCTGCGAGCGATGTTCTATTTTAAAACTTGGTTTGTGTCGCGCGCGATGCACGTATATATATGTACGCGTGTGAGTGTCCGTGGCTGTGTGGAGTGGCACAGAAAAAGAGAGAAAGAAACGTGCGCGAGAGTTTGGTTATCGCGTATATGTATTTTAGTGTACGAATAACGAGAGTTACACTCGGCCTCGAGTACGCACATCTGTGTTTAGTGCCAATTACACGTACCGGCCCTTTTTTTTTATTTATTATTATTATTATTATTTTTTTATCGTTTAAACGGTAATTATCCGCTCGCATTCTCCGCACTTTCTCTCTCGCTCTTTTTTTTCGTGTACTTGGCTAAATCGGCGCGTAGCTGTGTAAGTTCGAAGACGAGAGTGCTTAACATTTTGGGCAGAAAATTTTTTCGTCGTCGTTGACATCGCGCAGTATTAAACGAATAAGTAATTTAAAATACATAAACTTTACGAGACGCAGCAGCTGTGCAGCTCGCAAAAAAATCCACAGCTGCACGAGTACTTGCAAAAGTTGGAAAAAAGTTTTAATACGAATTAGCTCTTGCTCTCTCTCTCCTTCTTTCTCTCTTTAAAAAATTCTACCACGCTCGCAACTTACACATATATTAAGAGAGAGAGAGAGAGAGAGAGAGAGAGAGAGAGAGGAAAAAAGAAGCAGACCATCGGATCGTATCGACGCCGCCGCGCGTCTGACTAAAGTTCGACCCGGACTACTTGCTTTGACTCTCGGGTATCGTCAAACGCTTTCTCTTTCTCTCTTTCACTCCCACCAATAGCACCACCATCGCCACTGCCAGCGGCCTCCATCTTCTACATCTTCTATACGTATACTCGCCCGATGAGAACGTATCATATTCTAATACCAAAAGAGCACAGACGAGTAATACACTCCCCTTTGCTCTCTCAGTGCGCCTGTCGTGTATATATGCTCCTCTTATACTCTACAATCGTTTTCTTCTTAATTCTCCAGTCATCCAGGCGTGTATACGTTATTATACACGCGGAGAGAGAACAGCAGATACGTATATAGGTATCCTTCGCTTCCGGGGGCTGCCGCTCGTCTCTTTACTTCTTGTATAATATATATAACGCGTATAATACAACAACTGTCTTGTCTCATCTCGAGCTATTAGCATCTTCAGCCTGACGTTTCTGACTGTTTCTTCGTCGTGCTTCTTCTTCTCCTTCATCGCTGTGTGCGTTCGTATGCGTATATTCATCCCTTTTGCTCTCAAAACGTACTTACACGTACACACATACTGAAAGAAAGAGAGAGAGAGAGAGAAACCACGATGACAAATAACAAGAGCTCCGCGCGCACCAACAGCCCTAAAGGCCTCTGCGTCACCCTTCCTTCTTATACTTAACTTTCTCTCTCTTCTCCATAGACACGCGCGCGCCCACCCAAGCACATACCCTTACGTAATGTGTAAAGGCTGTAACGCGCGCCGCCGTCGTCTATATATATACGCGCGCATATCTTATACAGTATATACGCTCGCTTGAATCAAAAAGCCTCTGAAGTAAAAAGAATGAAAGGAAAAACCGTCGAGATTTTCCTTCTTCTCGTCTCACTTTCTTTCTTTCTTTATTTTCTCTCGCGAGCAGCAGCAGCAGCGGCAGCAGCTTTTTTGTATGATTACATGCCGCGCACACGAGATTGAAGACGCGCGCGCGATTATTATTATAATCCTCGTCGCTATAACCGTCAGCTCTTATTATTATTTTTCGTTCACACGCGCGCGCCAACTCGGATGCGTATAGCGATGTATTATGTACGTATATCTTTCACCCTCTTGATTTTTTTCCCTCTTTCTCTCTCGCTTGCTCGTCCTTCTTCCACTTCTTCGCTGCCTGCCTTCGACCTTTATGCGTACGTGCGTGCGCGTAAATGTCTCTTGAGAGATCGGCGGCGCTCCTATGTACGAAAACAAGCGTTAAAGATCGCGAGGGACTTGAGCGAGAGACTGATTAATGCTACAATTTAGCGCGCGATGCTTTATATATACGTATATGTACTGCTGGGGATAGTCCTCGATACGCGGAGATTGACACAATCGAAAGGGGTTGCGAATTTTTTCTTCCTCGATTTTTTCTATTTTTTTCCCGGTTCGATACGTATAGGTACAGGTACACGTACGACCGAAGACGAGATATTACGTATATTACATGCACGAGGCTCGGCACATCGATCGATCTCCGACTATACTGTGCCTCGCGCGCAGCGGATACGTACGTACACGTTTTCCGTATCTATATATAATACACGAGAAAATCGATGCCCCGCGAGTTACTCTGCTTCTCCTTTTTTTTTAATGATAAATAATTCAGTGCGCGCACGCGAGTGGGAGCTGCGTTAGCAGGCGCATCATTATACCTAGATATACGTCTGCACGCGCGCGGGCGCAAAAAAAAAAAGTAGGAAGAAGAGGAAGAAGATGTGTTTACATTTTCTATTAATAAAGGAGAGTAGCGCGAAAGATCGATACGAAAAAAGGAGAGAATTATAATAAACGTCGCTCGTCGCGCGCATATTATGTATGCATATATTAAGCCCCCAGCTAATAAACGCGCCTGCACTTTTACTTGTACGTACACACGTGCATCGTAATAATCGCAAAAGAGTAATATACTCCTCCTATAAATACGAAACTCTTTTCAAGCCTCCCCCTCGGCTCCAACCCCTCCCGCTACTCTCCATCGTCCTTCTTCTTCGACTTCTGTTTTTTTTTCTTTTTTTTTCGCTCGACTCAACTCGACTTTCTCTCTCTCTCAACTCTCATTATTAATACGGTCTCGTTAGGCGTAATGAAAAGCATACATATATACACACACAGACGTGCAAGTATCCTTTTTTTGCTCCGCTTCGAAAAGAAAAGACCGAAGTAGTTGCTGCATTTGTCGGTGTGTGCATGTGTGTGTAAATGCTGGCACTGTGTGTATAAAACTTCGCCGCAGAGTCGAATGTTTACTTTCCAGTCGCGCAAGTTCACGTTCGCGAAGTCGTTATACGGAATCCCCGTATAATATACAATATACATCGCCAAGCTCCGATCTCTGCGCGCGCCCTGTTAATTACGAGAAAAATGAGAAATTAAATCTTGGACTAAAATCACCGAAGCGCCAGGCAAACGAGATAGAGTGAGAAATGATTTACGAGAAAAGTACAAAAAGCTTCTGTCTAGTCTATACCAAGCGTCGTCTATGTATACGTGCAAGCTGCATTATATTCCGTTGAACACACAGGAAGAACGTCAGAGAGGCAGCAGCAGCAGCAGCTCGAGCGAGCGAGCAAACGAGTCTTATGTGTGTATATGTGTGTGTGTGCTGCACATGCCAGTTTAGCGAGGCATCGATTTTTCCTCTCGCGATTCCATTCATTCGCAGGCATTCGTACATACACACAACGCTCTCTCCGTGCTCAGTCACTCTCTCTCTCTCTTACTCTGAACCGTCCGCGTCCTTGTTTTTCTCAACATTTTTTTATACGCGATATATAGAAGTACGCCCTGCCGTAGCAGAGGCACTGGAGTAGTCGTTGGAGCGTGATTTCAACGCGGGCGCTATTTTCCCTGCAAGCTCTTTCAGCAAGCAAAAAAAAAGCTCGAAATAATGCCTAATAGATTGTTGACGAGTAATCTCGTCATTATTGAAATACGAGTCTCTCTCGCTTTCTACCAGTGCCGCTGCTATTGTGCACCGAGCTCACTCTCTCTCTCTCTCCCCCCGCGGCGTAAATTTTCCAGTTGAAAATATTATTGATCAAGACCTCGGGCGGGCGCGAAAGCCGCGCGACTACTGCGAGCTGCTGCTGCTGAGCAGGCGGTACGGTATACGTACGTACACATACGACGACGTGGCGGGAAGCAGCGGGGCTGGCTCACTCTCTCTCTCTCTCTCTCTCTCTGCAGCATACAGGCACAGCAGCGAGGCTTTATAATGCGCGCGCGAGAGAGAGAGATCAGCATTTCAATAATGCATTATTCACACGGGCTTGTGTGCCGCCGTCGCCGTCGCTGCTGCTGCTGCAAGCTCTCTCTCTCCGGGCTTACGATTTTCGTACAAATAAGGGTTGTACACGATTATATCGATCGCGGGGCTGCCCATGTGCTTCGAGTTCGTGTCTATTTGCGCGCGCACAGACACACACACACACACACCCAGGCATATGGACGTATTGTTGTGAATAAATTAGGCATCGGATTACCTCCTTATATAATTTTCAGTCTGCGATATAGATATACTTTATCGAATATGTTGGTCCGACTCACTCGCTATATAAACTCGCGATGCATGACCGCAACTGGGCGATAAATCGATGACGAATGTATAATTAATTATAAAAATATCATGCGCTCTCGTTGACACGAGTGAGCAACGGAGCGCCAAACACACACACACAAACACACATGTACTAGAAATTTATATTTACTCTCGTGCAAATGTATGCGCATAAATTTTTTTTCTTCCTTGTTATACATATATAACTGACGATATAATGTACTACATCTCTGTCTGTTTGTTTGCAGATAGCTCTCTCGCTGTCTTGTGATTTTTCAACCTCGGGGAGTGTCCAGCCTGGAGAGCTCCGGGCTGACTTATCTTTCAAAATGTTGCTCGTTTTATGGTAAGTGCAATATATATATCTCTCTTTCTATCGGCTTCGCTCGCCGGCCGTGCTATATACAACATGCGATGCTCTCGCACAAACGCGCGTTCGTACAAGCTATACGTATTCCCGGCTATTTATTTATATCTATAACACAGGTAAAAGGTTTTTCTTCGGGCGCGAGTTTTTCCGTGTTGTAATGCACACAGATACACGCGAGATGGCGCGAGGAAAATTCTACGCGCTCTACTCTTACGGGAGGAAGCGGCTAGACGCACGATGCACACGTATGTGTGATATACACGCAGCACATTATGTACTCATGATTCTACCGACTCGTATGCGCGTATAACAGTAGTAGAGGGATATAAAAATCTTTTTTCGTTTTGACGAATCGCACGTACGTATCACGTTGGCAGAAATTTTCTTCTTTTCGCGCTTTTCTCTCTTTTGTGTGTGTGTGCGAGAGCGATGGTGTGCGCGAACTACCCAGAGATCGAGTTACTCGCAAGCTCTACACTACGCTCGCAGAGAGAGAGAGAGGCAAAAATGCGCTGTTGGGAGATTTTCGCTCTCTCTTTCTCTCGCTCACGCTCCCATTCGTAAGTCTGATGCATCGCACGTGAAATTGCTGTTCTGGGAATTTTTTACAACGACGACGACGAGAACTGCGTGGATATATTATTGCACACCTGTGCAGCCGGAGGTGAGGCGAGAGTTGGAATTTTTACTATTTAATGCAGGGTAACGCGAGAAAAATTCTGCTTCTCTTTTTTTTCTTTTCCCCCCTTTTTTTTGTTTCCGCGAGACGGCAAAAACGATTCGACGTGCTTTCCACGACGAAGATATTAAAAGTGATGTATGCTCGCAGGAAGAAAAGAGTATTAAAATTAAGCTGATGCTGCTGCTGCTCGCATGCATCGGCGAGGCACTTCATTCGGCTGTACGCGCATTGGAAATTAATTAAATTTATCGCGCGAGCGAACGAGTGCTTAAATCAATAAAGCTAATGTACAAGCTATGCTCGGGCAGCCTTTTAAACTCTATATATACCGGGTGCTCGTGTGTGTGTGTGTGCAGGTGTTGCTGCGATGCGTGAAATAATAATAAAAAATAGAGAGAGAGAGAGAGAGAGAGTAGAGAGCTTGCAAGCTCTAGGAAGCTTTACATTTATATATACGCACACTCGCACACACACGAGCTCCCGCAAACTAGAAACAAATTACATTCTAAACGAGCCCGAAAGCTTACGTCATGTATACGTATTATATATCGGTGCGCGCGCGCGCCCAAGCCCAGCCTGAGCTTTGGTATATACGGTATAAGCTTTTGCGCGTTGACCAGGGGTCTAACCGGCTGGATCAAGACCTCGAAGGCTAATACAGGCGCAAAACGCTCCTGACGTATAACGACTAAATCTCTTCTCTTCACGTTTGCTCCTTTTTTCGTAGATCTCTCTCTCTATATATATCTTTCTTCGTGCCGTCGGCATTCAATAATACAAACGTTGAAAAAAAATCGCTTATACTCGCGTGTATGGAATATTATCTCCGAGTGCGTACGTATATATCCGCGTATACACTTACTTTTTACACATTTTCTCTGTCTCTCTCTGTCGAAGATGGGCATGAGACGGAAATGAGATAAAAAGAAAATCTCTCGCTGTTCCTCGGCTCTGCTCTGCGCTAGGCTCTTTCTCTCGCCGCCTATGTAATAGAATTAAAATGATACTATTTGGCCTAGGCTCCGTGCGACGAGCTCTCTGTGAGAGCTTTTTTTCTTTTTTTGCCCTTCTCCTCTCGCTCGTCTCGCCATTATACGCGTTGAATCCGAAATTTCCATCGTGTCTGTGCGGCGCGCTTCGTGCGGGGCTGCGATTATGAGCGATACTTTCATATTTCCTTTTTTTTTTTCGCTTCCACACAGAAGCTCCGTTGTAACGAGAGACGAGCGAGATGAGAAAGTGGATTCCTGGCCTTTCTGGGTGTAGATTAAATAAGCTCGGGGCTGGGGCGTATATAAAAAATGTATCCTCTGACCTAAAATCAGTATACGCGAGAGATAAACGTCTTTAGGCATTACGTACAGAATCTTGGCTCGACTGTACCTTCGGCATTAAAGCAAATTAAGCTTCCTGCACACAAATACACACACACGTTTCAGTGAATTTGCAGGCTCCAGGAGATTTTGCAAATATGCACTTCCAGTTCGCTCACGTATGTGCAGCCTTAATTGCCTTTAAAATTAGTCTTTGATTATCTTGGTCGCATACGCGGTTTATGTTTCGCGTGTGTATATATGTAAGCTCCGAGCTTTCCGATGTATCTTCTCAAATTGCTTCAGGGCTCGTAACTTATATCTGTCATAATTAAAAAAAAACAAAGAAAAAAAGAAAACAAAAAATTTTATTCGTCAGAATCTGTGCCCGCGTATCACGTTTTATGCTTTGAAACGTTTCGCTCGATTCAACTCGCGTACGCGATCATTCAATGCCTCTGTTGGGTCGTTGTCGTCGTCGTCGCCGTCGACGTAGTGTCACGCAAATTTTTTTACGACTCGCCGAGATTTTTACGATTCGGTCGGCGGGTTTATGCGCCTCTCTCTCTCTCTCTCTCTCTCTCCACCGAGCTTTCCGCAGACTCCCAAGGCCGAAAATATTTCGACGCGAAAGCATATAATAGGAGAACACACGTATACATCGTTGATAAATCGAATAAACATATATCGGTGGCTGCATAGAATACGTGTATAGAAAAGTTGAATTTTCAGGGCGATAAAACGCGTCGGAACACGTATAGTGGGTACTATACGTCGCGTCGTCAGCTCGCAGCAAGCCAGAGCTGCAAAACTAGTTTGGCTCGATTTTGGCAGAGCCGCGTGGGCGTCCATATACGAAAATGCATCAACGTATATATATACTTTTGTAAAAATCGATAAGCGGCGTTCGTTACTCGCCATCCATCATTTCACAAAAAAAAAACAATCGGCATTACGCCGCTCGCGCAATTTCGGTGCCAGAAAACTGTCACGCGTCGCCCGATGCGTACATAAAATACCCGTGAGACGTATACTACAACGCGGACAGCCGTCGTCCCGCTCGTAGCGCAAATTATAATCTTTATTTCATACGTATGAATCCCGAAACTCGCCGAGTCCGAGGATTATCGCGGCTTCAGCTCCAATCATAATGAAAAGCTCGATTTTTAAACGTCGTTATCTTTTTTTCGTTGCAGACACACAGGCAATTCGTTAGTGAGCGGGCCCCAACTGGGCTGTGCACCCAACGAGGGCTTAAAGGACTCTAGCGATCAATCGCAGCAGCAGCAGCAGTCGTCAGCGCCGCTATCGTTTCTGCCCACAGCAGCAGCCGTAGTACGCCGTCGACGACGCAAATCCGTCATCTCGGCGATCGAGATCGGAGCCCGTGCCAGCCTACTGAGCAACAGCAGCAGCGTCGGCACCGTCACGCCGTCGCAGTCGCAGCAGCACAGCAGCAACAGCAAGAGATCGAGCCTCCTCGTCGGAGTGGCTTCTTCTGTACCGGCTGCCTTGGAGGCGCAAGAGGGTGGCGAGCAGCAGCAGCAACAGCAACAGCAGGAGGAGGAGGAGGAGGAGCGGAGAAGGCAGACGCAGTCGAATCATCATCGCACGATAATCCAAGGGCCCAAGGAGGTCCGTGGTTACGAGGACAACAGCAACGACGACTCCCTCACGACATCGCAGCACTCGCAGCACTCGCAGTTCGCTTCCTCATCGGGAGCTCAGCAGCAGCAGCAGCAGCAGCAGGAACAGGCAGCAGCAACAGGAGGAGAGGGAGGAAAAACTGCAGCGGTGGCAGCGACCACGGCCAGCGCTACGAGCGCCGCTGCTGCGGCTACCGGCCAGCAGCAGTTGCGCCAATCTAATGCCAGGCGCATGCCTTACCTCGGCGGGCCCCCCGACATGACCAGCAACACCCGACTGTCAGCCATGTTCTACACGGTCGAGGTCGGGGACACCAAGTTCACCATACTCAAGCGCTACCAGAACCTCAAGCCGATCGGCAGCGGGGCCCAGGGCATCGTGTGCGCGGCCTACGACACGGTGACGGCCCAGAACGTCGCCATCAAGAAGCTCTCGAGGCCCTTTCAGAATGTCACCCACGCCAAGAGGGCCTATCGCGAGTTCAAGCTCATGAAGCTGGTCAATCACAAAAACGTGAGTTCGCCTCGTGACCCCGTTTCTGCTCTACTCGTACGATAACGATCTATTTTCTTGCAGATAATCGGCCTGCTGAACGCGTTCACGCCGCAGAGGACCTTGGACGAGTTTCAGGACGTTTATCTGGTCATGGAACTGATGGACGCGAATCTCTGCCAAGTCATTCAGATGGACCTGGATCACGAGCGAATGTCCTATCTGCTCTACCAGATGCTCTGCGGCATCAAGCATTTGCATTCGGCTGGCATCATACACAGGGTAATCGGCCGGGGACAACGATCTCTTTCGATCTAGATTTTTTACTGGCGCATAAAAAAAAAAAAAAAACAAAATTATTAAAGCCTGGTGGGCGGGGATGATTCCTTCTATGCGAATGAAANCGTGTAATAAAAAAAAAAAAAAAAAAATAGCTCCGCAATGTACAAGCGCCACCGGTGAATGTTTATATTCGGCGGCGGAATCTCCTCCTCGTTTTTTGTTCGTTTGAAATTTAAAAGAGGAGCAGCTCTTAAAAGATTCTCTTTTATGTACCTGCGCGTATTTACTGAAAAGTTCCGACGCCAATTATTTTTTATTAAATCCAATGTAAATTAAGCTTTGAATACGGCGAAACAAAGTCGCTTTGTATACAGGCGCTTTTATGTGTACACTCATCCCCGCCGCTTCGAAACTAATTACTTTTAATGATTCTCTCTCTCTCTCTCTCTCTCTCTCTCTCTCTCTCTCACTGGATCTCACGTTCATTTTTTTGCGTGTGTTTTCGCCTTCAGGATTTGAAACCTAGCAATATCGTCGTGAAATCCGACTGCACTCTGAAAATCCTGGACTTTGGTCTGGCGAGGACAGCCGGCACGACGTTCATGATGACGCCTTACGTCGTGACGAGGTATTATCGCGCGCCCGAGGTCATCCTCGGCATGGGCTACAAGGAGAACGTCGACATCTGGTCGGTCGGCTGCATCATGGGCGAGATGATACGCGGCGGCGTGCTCTTCCCCGGCACGGATCACATCGATCAGTGGAACAAAATAATCGGTACGTATACAATACAAAGACCGAGTACCTATCTGTATCGTCGGGGGTGAAGTTGTCCTTCACGATTTTTATTCTGGCTTTTGTTTTCGGCAGAGCAATTGGGAACACCGGCGCAGGAGTTCATGCAGAGACTTCAGCCGACCGTGAGGAATTACGTGGAAAACCGGCCGCGTTATCCCGGTTATCCCTTCGAGAGGCTATTTCCGGACGTGCTATTTCCTTCGGATTCGTCGGAACACAATCGCTTGAAAGGTATCGTATATACAGCTGAGCTTTTATCGTTTGCGGCGGTGGTTTCTCGTTTGACGTGACACTGCCGCCGCCGCCGCCGCCACTGTGGCCACTGCATTATTAATCTCGTTTCGTTTTGCCTCCGATGCGCCTACCTATATCTCTACCTGTCTCTATGCGCGCCCGAGCAGCGAGTCAAGCGAGGGATCTATTGTCGCGCATGCTGGTCATCGATCCGGAACGGCGTATTTCCGTCGACGATGCTCTACTTCATAACTACATCAATGTTTGGTACGACGAAGGAGAAGTTAACGCTGTAAGTGATACGCGCAACACAGCGCGCCAATCTTTTAGACGCTCCGGCGCTCCTATACTAAATGCATGTATACTTACTCGTCCTAACTTTGTCCTAATTGTGCAGCCGGCGCCAGGCCCCTACGATCACAGCGTGGACGAGCGCGAGCACACGGTCGACCAGTGGAAGGAGCTGATTTACCAGGAGGTCATGGAGTACGAGACAAGTCACAACGCGAGCCCTTCGGCGACGCAATCGCCTGACACGACGAGTTCTCGGTAGACGACGCTAATGCAGCATCGTCATCATCATCATCAACAACAACAACAACAACAACAGCAACAGCAGCAAGACGTGCTAGCCGTCGTCGGTAGCAGCAGTAGCAGCAGCGGTTTAAAGCCTGCCTGCAATTCCGCCACGATTGCCACCTGCTGTTCCGGGAACAACGCCAGTAATCATCTCGTCGCGATGCTCAGCAGAAGCAGCAGCAGTAGTAGCAGCAGTGGCGGAATCAGTCCCAGCAGGATCATCCAACAGAGCAACAACATCGTTCACGCCAGTAATTACGCGCAATTGCAGATGCTGCAGCTACGTCGACGTCGGGCATTGAGGCCCCTTTTACTCGGCGTCGGGCTCGCCTACGCCCCAAAGTTACCACCAGCGCCCAATTGATAGCAACAGCGAGGAAAGAGAGAAAGAGAGAAAGAAAGAAAGAAGCGGTCCGGTGGAACGATGAAAAAATTACTCAATAATATGGCAATAATATGATCTTCATGCCTTGCGCGCGTGCTTATTATATTGTATAACCGAGGTATACTTCGACGTACCTCTCAGAGATGTTCCTTGAGACATCGAGGCAACAAAAAAAAATGTATAAGTAACTACTTGATCTCACGGGTTTACTATATAAATATTATAAATATATAAATCGACAAAACACGTATAGGTAAACAAAAAAAAAAATTATGAAAATCTCTTTCTATATTGGCAATCTATTGTACCACATTTTCGCGCAATGAGATGATAAGTCGACGACATTCGTTATTATCGATACACATACCTAAGCATATTGTACGATGTCATAATACGGAGACGGAGGGAATATGCAATGCGTGGCCATATATACTTTTTAAGCAATTTGGTCTTTTGAAAAAGAAAAGGATAACGAGTCTTGTGAATGCAATCGAGAAGAAATTTGTGTATAAGCATATAGCAATGCTCCAAAAATGCAATGTAAAAGTTTAAAACCATCACACTGTGTATAGCATCCGTAGATGGATGTAAAATTTTAGGAAGCCGATGCGAATGTAATAATATCTTCGCGAAAAGATAAAGAAATAATAATGTGAAACACCCTGTATTTTTTATACACGAGCGTGTTTTCGATGAAACTACGTCCAAGTACTTTAACGATTAAAAATTATTATTATTATTATCATTATTATTATTACGAAAAAAATTCATTTAGAGCTTGTGCTATATTGTATACTCGAGCTCACGCGCATCTCTTTTCGACGCGATCGATTATTATCGTATGAGTTGTGTACAAACAATTTTTCAAATAAAATCATGAATAAAAACACTTCACACTGTGTAGCGAACGACCTTTGTTCGACGATAATAAAAATAATTTAAAGAAAAAAAAACTTGTGAAGTTCCAGACAGATTGTAGCGACTCAGAAAAAAGTTAAATCGCGATGATTATAAATTTACGAAAAAAAAGTTGTTAGTGGAATTATGTAGTGTGAGAGAAAGAGAGAAGCTCCTTTTCAATAATAATAATTATAAGAATAATAATGTCAGCAGCAGTAAAAACATTATAAAAACCATAAAGAAAAACAAAAAAACTATATTGTAATGACATTGCTACGCGCAGATTTCAACCAAAAAAAAAAAGAATAAAAAAGAAATGAAAACACATGAAAAAACTCGTAATAACCAAGCAGAATAAAGTACTCGATTTAAAAGAGTGTCTAGTCTCTGCATATCGTCGTGGTTCTATTATAGTAGATTATCTATATCATATCTCAGTTATACTTTATAATTATTATTTCTTGTTAATTATTGTGTATATCTGGTGTAGTGGAAAACCAGTGAGAGAAAGAGAGGGGATAAATATGCATGTGAGAGTCACCCTATCTATAATCTTATGCGACGCATTCCTTTTTATTACATAGATATTATAATTAATCTCTCTCCTGTCTTTCACTCACGTACGCGAGACGAAGGAAAACTTTTCACCACTCATTCTACTGCTATCTCTCTTTCTGTGTTTTCCTCTTCTTCTTTTTTTACGACACATTTCATCGATCGTTTTTATTTATAACTTCCCAATCGTGGTCCATTTGCATCATTCTAGGAAAGATTTAGATTTTCACTCGGTCCAAAAGCGCATTATATCGAGAGCGAATCTATATCGTCGATAGACACAAACATTTTTGTAGGAATCAATGTTCGTAATGTTAAACAAGTTAGGCACGACATTTGTGATCGTTGTATAGCTGCGTTGTCCTTATTATAAAAGAGTTACAATTTCACACACAACTTTGATGATGATAGCAAGATATTATTTATAGGATGCGTATTTGTGCGTGTGCGTGTACTTGTGTATCAAGTGTATGTGTACTACGTTTTGTGGATGTGTAGGAAGAAAATTCGAATAAAACAATATATTATATAGGATATAAACTGAGAATACCAAGATGCAATATTGTTTTTTGCGATAATTAAATGTTTTTAGGAAGTAATAAAAAATCTCATAGATGACAAGTAGTTAGAGCAGTTATAGCGAAACATTTAGGTAGTTATTTATGATTATGCTTATAAGTAGCAGAGATGAATTAAGAAAACAAACAGAACTCAACCAAAATATGTAGCGACAAACGGAGGAGAAAGACGTACAGAACACACAACTCTATAAACCATAGATTACTTATTATAATAGGGGGAAAAAAATCATGTGAAAACCAGAAATTAGCACGAGTTGTGATGAATCGCAGACGTAATAAAGTAGTTGTTAAAAGCGAAAGATGCGGAAGAAAGAGAGATAGCAAGAGTAGATTTTGTAAAAACGTTAATAAAATGGTGAGAGGCACACGAGAGCCGAAAGAGCGAAATTTCTGAAGTATAAGGATTATTTATGTTAAAATTATAAGTTTTATCATTCTTATTATTGTAATATTATTATTACTATTTATTATGCGATCGAATGCTAAAAAAGCAATGTTGCAATTTTTATAATTAAATTAAATGTTTTCATAATGTGTAAATTGCGCATTTTTATTATTATTATTAGTTGTAACTAATAAGGCTATTACATAAATGAATTTTAATGTAAACTTTGAATAAGGTGCGTTATTATTATTATTGTCATTATTATTATTAATGATGCTAAACGTGGGGATATTATAAGTTATTGAAAAAAGTCTAAGTACTATTATTATTATATTGCAAATGAAATTGAAAAATCCTTTTTTTAGCGATCGTATCATTTATTCTAAAACGCGACGAGTAAAGACGCTGATTTTACGATGTTACACGGTGATGCATTAATTAATAAATCGAATAAGACGGGCGTGATTGCAAATTTTAAAGGATATATCAAGCGATCCATTATAATGACTGTGAAAGATGTATAAGTCAAGACGGATGACGTATGGTCGAGTGAGAGTAAATGTACGAAATGTGACAGTGATGATATAAAAAAAATAATAATACGATTTAAAGCAGCAGAAGCGTATAAAAAAAGCGAAAGAGTCTAATGTGGGAAAAATTTTTATTTTTCACGATGATAGTTCTTGTGAATATATTGCTACAGTCCGATCCAAATAATCAAGCTTTTGTAACACTCGATATAATAAAGTAACGATTATACCGCTATAATTGCCTTGATTTTTTTTCTCATTTTTATAATTAAGTGAAAAAAACACACCACTTTGAAACCCTATGAAAATGTCGACGCAATTCTTTGAATAGTGATTCGATAAGATGTTTTTTTTTCTTCTCAGCGTTTCGGTGAGGCGTGATTTTTTCACGGTGTTTGGATGTGAGGGTTTTTTTTCATGGTATATAACAAATATGTATTTTTTTCATAACGTTTTTATTTTTTTTTTCACTAGCACCGGTGTAATAAAGCTCATAAACATTTTCACAATAAATTTTTTTTGCTCGTCGATACACATGAGATTTCTTAAGAGGACAAGATAGTGTTTCGAATTGATAATTGAAAATGGACATATAAATCAAAATAGTTGGATTTTTTTTCTTGATAGTAAAATATGTTCATATCACCTGATTGACGAATAAACTCTAATCCAAGCTCTGAAATCCTTATGATATTTTACTTTTTTCATGATACTAAATATTGTGATTCTAAATAGTTGTCATATTTGACTATGAGCTTTTTGATTCCATCAACAGATGGAGTACTGTAAACTCGCAAGTGGTAAAAAAAGTTCCAATTCGCATATATACGATTGACGGAAAAATTCATTTCTATATACTTGGGCTAATTATTAATCAAAATAGTTGGATTTTTTTTCTTGAGAGTAAAATATGTTCATACTGCACCTGATTGACGAATAAACTCCTATTCAAGCTCTGAAATCCTTATGATATTACTTTTTTCATGATACTAAATATTGTGATTCGGTTCACTGACCACACGATTCTGACATGAGTTCTTCATCAATATTGATCCATGGGGTCTTCAAATTTTCAGAAAAGTACTTTCTTCCTTCTAATCAAAGCAGAACTTGGAAAAAATTTTTGCTCCTCTTCCAAGAATTTAAAAGTACCTAAATGCCCCTAAAAAAAAAGTAACCCATTATGTCGATGGGAAATTACCTCAGCTTTCCGATGATGAAGTTAGATTTTCAAAAATTTTCCATTTTCGTAGGGAAAATCGTCGGAAACTTTCTAAGTCAAATATCTCAAAAAGGGCATTTTTAAGATTTTTTTAAATAGTCTCAATCGAAAGCTGAGGAAATTTCCTATCGATATGCAAGTTGTCAAAGTGTGGTAATGATTACTACTTATTGAAATACAGCGAAAAATGTGTAAACAAATGAGATTCTTCGTCGCGCGGGGTACTGCGCGCCGAACAGCGGCCGCGTGGGTCGAAATTTATTATCACGTTTTTACACATTCATCGCTGTATTTCAATAATTTTTTGAACTATCAACTCTTTTATGATATAACCCATAAACATTGTTGCAAATGAAAGAACTTTTTTTACTACGAATTTGAATTTCGCCGTACATGGGTGTACCTGTTTTTGAAAACATTGCGCAACACACATCTAATTCAAATTATTTTTAGGCTCTCCTCAGTTTGTCACGATGCAGTCACTTTTTTTTAAAATTATAATTAACTTTCTTATTTTTTGTATTAATAATTGTTCCTCGTTTTTTCGAGTGTACAGAGAAAAAACGAAACTTCTCCACTTGAAACGCACGAAGGCATAAAAGTCATTAGCCTACATAAAGCCGAATTGTCAATATTTTTTTATTTTCAAACTAAAGAATTTAATTTATAACCATTTCGATACTTCAGAACTCGACGATTTCCGCTGTATTAGGATATTTTTTGTTCATTTCTTTACAATAACTCGTGTTAATTTTAAATACATTTAACGCCAAATTTAAAGTTTAAAATATTCGGCTGCTGGGTAAGGTAACTACTTCGTGACAATCTGAAAGTAACCTTAAGCAGCCTCTTCTTTCTCTCTTACTTTCTCTATCTAGCAGATGCGAGACTGTACGGATTACTTTCCGTTAGACGTGACGTGGTACATAGCTCGCGTATACTTGAATTTCTTTAGCTTCGTTTCATATGTAGATCAAAGTGCACGTGTAATCAGTTACTGTCCCACAATGTTAAGTGTGAAACTAAACAAGTAATTCAATTAAAAGTAAAAAATATTTGATATAATATACGACCGTGTGTGTTGTGAAGTGAAAGAAAATGTCCTCGCCCGTAAATTTTAACGGACGCTCAAACTTGGAAAAATTGAAGAGTTTGATCGATTGGGAGAACGAATCGGAACGAAGGGAATTTTTTCGTCACCTTGACTCTTTCATCAGCAAATCGAAGGGTCAACTTTCAAATCTACGACATATTTTTCAGGCCAAAGAAATCGATTGGCTTCTCTTGCAGGCCGTCAAAAACATAGAAAATCATCGAGAGCAACGATTTGTTAAATTCGTAATCAGTATCGGTTACAAAGACAAGCCTGACGTCGACGAAGACGGCAAGCCGTCGCCGCGTCGCACTACACCAGTGCATCAAATTGCCAGATGCAGGCCCCTTAATTTGGCTATTGTAGTTCGGCAACTTTTTAAATTATACGACAGATTTGATGTAAATTACACGGACGAGTTTGGCCTGACGCATCTCCACGTTGCCTGCATGACAGGATGTCTCGAGGTCGTAAGGAAATTTCTCGACTTCGGTCACGATCCCAATTGTCTCGAACCAGAAACTGGCGATTCGCCGCTGCATTTGGCTCTGGCTCATAAAAGAACAGAAGTGGCGAAATTGCTGCTGAAGAGTGGCGCCAATCCGAATTCGGTAAATAAAAACAAATTGACTCCTTTACATATTATTTGCAAAATTGACCACGACAGTTATGACTTGGTAAAAATGTTATTCGAGCTCAGTGACGACAAATATCGGCCTTTGCAAATCAATCTTCAAGACAATGTGGGTAACACGCCGCTACTCTGGGCTCTGTTTCGTAGACGAATAAATTTGTTCGAATTATTGCTGAGGAACGGCGCGAATCCAAATATAGCCAATGCAGATGGATTGACACCTCTGCAATATATTTGTCGGAAATACCACGACGATTTCCTGATGGAGATGCTCTTCGATATCAACGAGCAGATCCAGCAGACGGTGCAGATCGACTCCCAGGACAGTTGGGGTCGGACAGCACTGCACCTGGCTCTTACCGATACAGACGTGCATAAAACACGGATTATTCGCGGGCTAATGAAAAGAGGCGCCAATCCTAACTTGGCCGATACGCACGGATCGACGCCTCTGCACGTTATATGTAAGAGACGATACGAGGACGATTATAAACTAGCGGAGATGTTTTTCGAGCTCGGCGATGAAAATTATCAGCCGGTGCAAATCGATCGTCAGGACGAGTTCGGTCGGACACCGCTGTACCTGGCTCTGTGTTACAACTACGTAAAAACGGCTGAGTTACTGCTAAGAAGAGGCGCGAATCCGAACTTGGCGAATTCCGAGGGATTGACAGCTCTGCACATTATTTTCAAAGAAAAATTTGGCTTAATAGAGAAATTTGTCACAGAAGGTAAACTTGACTTAATTGAGAAATTGCTGCTGAACACCGATCCGAATGTAGCCGATGCAGATGGATCGACACTTCTGCACTGGATTTGCAATAGACATTGCGATAATGACTTGGCAAAGATATTTTTTAAAATCAACAAGGACAAAAATCAGTGGGTGCATGTCGACGCAGAGGACAATTTTGGGCGGACGCCGCTTCAATTGGCAGTGAAAAATCTCTTGCCATGCACAGTCGATGTACTCTTGAATCACGGCGCCGATCTATCTAGCTTCGTTTTTCCCTCCGAGAGTTTAATAGACAAACGTATTTCAAGTAGAAGGAGGAATGGTTCTAAAATTGTGAAATTGAGACTAGCAGCTCGTGCTCTAGGCATCGTCGAATGTTTTCATAACAGAGGATACGAATTGGACCAAAGCGGCGCCCTATTGATTATGAAATATTTCGCTGAGCACGAATTGTTCGCGACGTCGTCGGATCTTGAAAAACGTTTGTGTGAAGATAAGGACTTCGCGAGCAGGGCGAAAAAAATATCGATAAAACCGGACCTGTCGCTCTTCGACCTGGTGCAGTTACGACCCGAAAAGGCTCAAAAACTACTCTTACATACGGACTACTACAAATTAACGAACTCAAAAAAGTGGTCGGACTTTCCTAAAGGACTTAAAAAGGCTTGTGAAATTCATCTGAGCGAGAAATTATCCAGAGGATTTTTCAGGCGTTGGGCGGTTTATCCTTTCTGGGAATTCATACACTATCGGCTGCCACTCGAGTGCTGTGAAATGGTCTTGGAGAATTTGAATAACGAAGATTTATATAATATTTACTTGGCGGCTACAGGCCGAAGCTCCTGATGTCGATAACATATTTAATCATTTTCATATGAGAGATGAAAACAAATAATTCCAAATTAACTGTTAAGACTTTCTTTGTCAACTACATTGTAAATATCAATTTCGTATTCTTTAATTTTAAAATAAAAATTTTTTCTGCTAACAATGTAAGTTTTTTATTCGTGAGCTCTTCTTTGGTGTTACTGGTTAATATGCTATCAAATTGTTTAAATTTTGTACATTTTTTACACACATTTTATACTTAATTCATAATATATTCAAGAAACAATAAGTGACCAAAGAAAATTCTTCTAATTCATCGTTTAGCTTTTGTTTTTATTGAATTGACAGGGGTCGTTTTAATAAAATTTCATTGAATTTAGTACTTTATAAAGCATAATAATGAAGGTAGCTTCAGCAATCTGAGCAATATCCATCATAGGTTCACAACCCAAGCATGTTGTTTGTCATCTTTTACAAAATTGTTACTGCACATCTGCAAGCTTAAACTTCAGAATTATAGCGCTGAATGTGATGTAAACATTATAATAGTTTAAATTACAATCATTCTATTTAATAAATTTTACGCAACATATTGTTAATAATAAATTACCCATAGTTTTTACCTGTCGGAGATATGATTCATTAAAAAATCGTTGATTGGGCATAATAATTTGAAGTTTTGGGTATCGAGGCCGTCCGAAAATCAATAGAGAAGGAAATGAACGCTGTAAGGCAGTTCTATGGATTGTAAGTGAACCATCGTCATTTGGCTTTACTTTGTGATGTCATGACAGCCAAAGGCCATCTTATGGCCATCACACGTCACGGTATCAATAGGCAAGATACTGGAGCTCTGATGAAATCCTCATTCGAAGAAACGATTGATGTGTTGATAGATGCAGCTTCAGTTGCCGAAATAGATTTGATGAAAGGATGTTCAGAAAACATCATTATGGGTCAATTGTTACTGGTGGCTTCGATCTTCTACTCGACGCAGAAAAATGTAAGCAAGGTATTGAGATTCCAACGAACAAAGAAGCCAACATTATGAATGGTACTGGAATATTAATTGGAGCAGCAACCCCGATCCAAAGTCCATCGGGACTCAAGACGCCTTGTATGCGACCTACTGTATCTCTTATGTTGAATCCTTATAAAGCAAAGTCGGAAAGCTATGTCTCTAAAACTCCCATGGATACGAGAAACATTAGTCAGCGTCCAACATATTTTTCAACGAGCTTAAATTTGCTCCCCAATGTAAATAATAAAAATGAAAATGTTTTGAATTACCCAGAGTGTCCACACTACTCTTCAAAACAGCCGAGTTCTAATGACTCAATAGAAGAATCAGAACAAAACAAAAAAAGAAAAAAAAGAAATCTCATGTAATAATATTGATTATTATATGTATGTTCATAAAATTATGTTATAATATAAAATTGATTACTAGAAAAAAATTATATATTATTTGAAAAAAGATTAATTAGTCTAGAAGCAAAAATATAATTTATGTAATAATTAGTCTCACTTTCCTATATATAATACACATAAACATTTTCATAATTAACTTTTTACTTTTTACTTATTGATACACATGAGATATTGAATATTTATAAAAATTTCGGGAAAAATAAAGACAACTGCTGCACTATACATTACAGAGTTATTGGATATCAGTACGTGACTGTTATAAAAGGTAGAAAATTATTGGGCTGTCGATCGTATGTAATCGAGAATCTCCTATTATTTTTCTCATTTTTTTCAAAGTAAATTCAAAGGTTTCAATAATAAAACAAAAAAAACAAGTATTTACTTTCATCGTAATTTTCCATTTGATTCATTTTATTTTTATGCACTCACAACTGTATCTGTTATACAAATTTTAGATACACTTGTACGAATCTACTCTACTCACTGCAGAGAATGTAACACAGCATATATATTCATAGTGGTACAATAGTACTCGCAAAGAAGTTGGTAACAAATAAATATGTATACGAAATGCTCGGGTGTGAAGAGAGGAAGAGTCGATACAATTAGTTATTATCATTCGTTTGAAATTTATCTACAATCTTGTTCGTTTGTTTTCTTTTAACTTTACTAGATATAATTGGAAAACTAATCGATATTTATACTTTTTTTTCATGTACACACTTTCTAACGCTCCCTTTTTTTTGGCACATACTTGTTCTACATTCAGAAATAAAAACCCTACAAAAAATGCACTCGTTTCTCTGAAGCACACACGTGTACTTAATAATACATATAAAATCTCATATTCTTATATATAAAAAAAAAACGAAAATACAGATCATCGTTGTTCTCTTGCTATTATGATTGCACTCTGTACAAGTGTAACTCAATAAATATGCTAAAAAATATCGTTTATTCGCTAAATAAATTATTTCTTTATTTTTCGTTCGCATACAAAAAAAACGTTGCACTGCAAGATCAATATTAATATTCTCTACGTACAAGGAGCAACAACAACAAACAGTAGAAAAAACAAAATATCTTATATACACGTAACATTCGTAATTCGAAATATATATATCTATCTATCTATCTCTTTAAGGAATGACGATAATGACGATACAAAAAACCGATTCGCGCATACACACACGCATTCGGTGCATGAACACGTATATTATATATACACATCTACATAACGAGGGGGAAGAAAAAAAAATCATAATAATAAATCACGTAACGCGCGTTTAACGTCGCGCTCAAATACAAAAAAAAAACAAGATCCTAAATATATAATTCTTTATATATACGCTGTATTCGCCAGCGACTGGTGGATCGTATACGGATAGACAATTGCAACGACGCGTGTCTGTGTTCGCTCTCTCGTGCGCCAGTCTTCGGCCGCGTGTGTGTGTGTGTGTGTGTGTATGTATCGTTCATGAATATTTTTATTATTACTGAATCGCATTGGCAAAGTCGCGCGCACACGAGGATAAAACGAGATGCGCGCGATCGACTGAGCGATAATACACACGACGCGACGTTGGACGAGGACGACTCGTAGCGACGACGACGACGACGACGTTGACGGTGTCTAACCGACGATCCAAGGCAACCATCAGCTGGGCTGCGCGGGCGGAGTCAGCCGCACCAGAAACCAGGTGTAGAGCTTGGGCCTCTTCTTCACCATTATCTCGTATTGGAGATTGGCCAGGCCGTCGGTGAGGAAGCGCTTTTTTCCGCTCTTCAGGAACTCGTACCTGCGCCGAGAGCCACACACACGAGGCAATTAGATACATATTATAATTATTGCTTGGCAGATTAGAGAGAGGGAGAGAGAGAGAGACGATGATGATGAGTCACGGGAATGAAACCGTACGTATATGGACACGCGCACGGCGCTTTAAACGATGCATAATTTCACGCTTGTCTCGCTCGCGTAACGAGTATTAAATCCTCGGCTCATAAAAATAACAATTGAATCTCGCTGGACGATAATGAGAAGAGCTGCGAAAAATAAGAATAAAAAAAAATATATATATGCGCTGGTGCCGTACGTTATGAGCGATTTTATAAAGTTCCACGAACGATTCCTTTGTTACGGCTCGAAAGAGAGAGATAGAGAGAGACGCGTAAAAAGACCGTAATGCAGCGATAAATAATAATAAAAAAAAAAAAAAAAATTAAACAAGAGGAGACACTTTGGCAGCGCACGTCGAATTACGGTCTCTGGTTTCACTGCATAAAATTCTATACACAGAGCCGCGCGCATCTATCGCGTATCGTCCCGACGTACGCAGAAAATGAAAACGACAAAAAAAAAATAAACATCTCGAAAAAATCCCGAGTCCCGAAGGAGGATGAGGCGGAGGACATATCGTATATCGAGTTACCTTTTCGGATTGGCCTTCTCCTTCTTGTGCGTCAGCATCTTGTATCTGGCTATGTTGGCGGGATAGCGCGAGATGTGCAGGCCGCGGGACTTGATGCGATTGGCCATGTCGTCGTCCTCGCCGCCCCAGCCCCAGAACACGTTGCTGAAGCCGTTGACCATGCGGAAGTGATTGGTCGTCATGGCGGACACGCCGCCGAACAGGTCGCTGTAGGGCAGCCTGTGTGCGACGCAACAACGATATAAATTAATAAACGAGCGAACGATCGAACGGAAATGCGTTCGAGTATACGCGAGCTGTGTACTCGAAGTAACGATATTATTCATTCGCTCGTCGGGGCGCGTGTGTGACGCGCGTATATAATGCCGATATATATTTATAGGGAAAGGAAGCGCGTGACATATTTTCATAATTAGACGTAGCTGCGGATGTATTATATATAATACACATTACCTGTAGAGGAATTTGTCGATGGCCACGGACATGTGCCTCGGCTGCTCGGGACAGTTGTAGATGTTGCGATCGTCCTCGGGCAGCAGGTCGACGTCGTGAAAGACGAAGCAGTCGAAGGGCCGCTCCTTGAGCGCCTCCACGTAGCCGACGTTCATGAGCATCGCCCGATTGAATTGCCCGGTACCTTAAAATATATCCCCCCGCATGTATGCGTTATTTTTGGCCTTCTTGGTCGTCTTAGTCTTACAGTCTTAAGAGTAAGAGAGAGATTAATTCGATCGAGGTCGTGCACGGTGTATGCGTGTATGCATAGACGTGCATATAAGCGCAAGTATATGATATAAGTAAAGAGCGCGGGTAAATATATACCTGCGCGCCGAGCTCCGCGCTGACGCACTTTTCAACCTAAATAAAATTTGCTCTCTCTCTCTCTTTCTCTCACTCCACAATTACCCTAGTTATTATTATTATTATGAATATTATATTTCAATTATCAAGTACCTTCCTGCTCGACGACGAATATCTGATAGTCGAGCTGCTGTCTCAGCAGCAGCGGGTGCAGATTGTACAGCAGCGTCATGAGGTGCGGGAAGCGATCGCGGAAAGGCACGACGATGGCGACCCGGTAGCGGGCGCGACACTCCACGGGCGCGCCCCGGCCGCCCTGCTTCACTCGGGCGAACGCCCTCTCCATGGCGCTGAGGTCGGGCGGACTCTTGCTCACGGCTATCGGGCCGACTGCGCTCCGGGAACACGAGACAGAAAGAGAGAATGAATGACGAAAACCGGTCCAAAACAGACACGGAAGCGATCGCGACGTAGGGTAGTCAGACCAATCAATGACCGGGTACCAGTGAATGACCATTTTGAAAAATATCATATGAAAAACAATTAAAAATATATTTGTATGGACATAATTTAATTCTTTAGTGAACGATGCATCTCGTTTTCTATGTTCGATCATAATTTAACAAAGAAAAACGATAATTATTGCACATCCAAAAGTGGTCATTTACTGGTCGAAAGCGGTCAATCACTGGTATAAGTACCCTATATTATAATTTACTCACCGAGATTGGGCGGTACAGCCGGACACAGGGGCGGCTCCCGACTGCCGTCGTCGCTGTTGTTGTTGTTGTTGTTGTTATTGTTGTTGTTGGAGGCATTGACATCGGACGACGACTTGCTGGTGGGCCCCGCCGCCGAGCTCTCAATCGAGCTGGCGTTTTTGGCTCCGCTGGCCTCGGAGGCTCTGATACCGATACTGCTGCTACTGGCGTTGCTCGCAGACTCGTCCTGCATGTCATCCTCCGAGCCTGACGCGGCGCTACCACCGGTTCCGTATATCACCAGCGTTCGATGCTGATGCGGTGGTCTGGCAAAAAAAGATAGAAGAAAAAAAATATTACCAATAACGTAATACGATATATAGGAATAGGAAGAACAAAATAACGACGACGTAATATATCGGCGAGTGCACGATCGGTGCCGCGAGACCTTGACGATCGTTCGCTTGACGGCAGTCGCGCGAACGTCAATTTTCATCGACTCGCTAATGATCGCGCGCACTCGCGCACACGCCTATACGCGTACGATACTATGTATGAAAAAATAAAAAAAAAATTCGTCGCGTATCTAAAATATACCTGCTCGTGTTGATGGTGAAGATGGTCTCGATGGATCGGCGATCGATGGCCCCGCTGAGGTACTGGAGCGCGATGAGCGCCAGCACGATGCAGACCAGCACCTTATAGATGTGGGCCCGATGCCAGGGCACGACGACGCCGGCGACGGCCGACGACGCAGCCACTGTCATTCTTGCTTGTCCTCCTGCTCGTCCTCCTGCTAGCTGCTGCTTCTTCTTCTTCCGACGTGCTGCTGCTGCTTGCGCATGAGCCGCCCAGCGACACCATATCACCTCTTGAATATATATATCCTATACTTCACCGCACCACCGACGCGGACACACGCAAGCACCAACTACGAGACGACTGTTGTATTCCTACGATGTGACATTGGTTGGCCGTGACTGATCGTCGTCGTTCTTCGCTAATGTTATCGTTGTCAATGTTGTGCAGTCACACAAGCGTGTTACGATATATATAGCTGCCGATGTGGAGTAATATGCATGCGCGAGGCGCGCGACGAGGCTCTCGGAGCTAACTTGGTTTCTTTTTTACTTCTTCTTCTCTCCTCGTTGCTATTTATTATTGTTATATCGACGATCGTTTCATCCCTTCCTCCTCCGCTGCTGCTGCAACTACAGTTGGCTCGTTGCACACTCGTTGCCGCAGCACACAGCCAACAACGGGCGGACGGACGATCGTGACGAATCGAAGCCTGGAAAATATCGAGAAGCAGACGCACACACGCGCGCGAAATTGAATAATAAATTTCACTTCGGATATTGTGTGTGTTAATGTTATATATAGAGTGCAGCTCGCTGGTCGAGCTTCGACAGTAGCTTAAACTACTACTGCTGCTGCTGCTGCTGTTTCGTATCAAACGAGCGAGCGATTATACATACATTATGTAGGTAAGATACGTGGGTAAGATAGGCAAATTTTTTTTTTCGTCGTCTTGTACGTACTATGTGTACACACATGCGAACGAACACGACGACGACGAAGACGACTCTTGGCTCGTTATGGACACGTATATATCGTGCACTGCTACTACAACTACTGGCGAGTCGATACAAAATTGTAATATTAAGGTCAAGATGAGACTTTTATGTAATCCATTTGGGTTTCGTTACGTAGTTAGACTATCGAGGCACGCGCATTGTTACATTGCAGCGGCGCTACATGCATACGTTATATTATTCCAAGTATACATAGGATGTATTTGTTGGGATTTAGCGCGAACTCGAACTTTTGCCGAACGCCCCGCGCTTCGGAGCACGCGGTGGGCGTCGAGTGATAACACCAAAAAAAAAAAAAAAGAGAGAGAAAAAAAAGAAGAGCACAGATAAAGAAAAAAAACACACAGAAGAAACTAAGCCAAATGCCATTTGCGTATTTAAATACGCACATACAACACGAGTCGCTAATCAAAGCAACGCAACCGTAGCGGTCGTTGGAGCTCGTTGGCAACAGCTCGTGTATACGTATACGTACGGAGGGCTCCATTAAAATTAGCGCAAATCCACGACGTAAACCATGCTGTTATTCCGGTGTCTCGTGCGCGGGTCTCCTCTTATATATTTTATTACATATATATATATCTTCTAAATTACATCATTCAAGCGGTGCACACGTGTGTGTGTGCGTGCGTAGAAAATGCGCCAAGGCAAAAATAGTACCCTTTTTATCGCGACTCGCGTCCGTATATACCGCAGCAACGAGCCCATTCGCATTGATGATACCTATACAGTCCTTTGTGTATATCCAGATAGTACATCATCATCTACGCGATGAGCAGCAGCACAAAAGACGCGTACTGCGCGTGTAATTCAATACGAATTTATGAGCTAGAGCAGCAGAAATCTCCGCTACATAGACGCATCGTATCAAGAGGCGTATATACGTATCTGGCTCGTCGCTCCTTTTCAGCGCTGCACAGAGGCGTCAATCATAGAAACGACCTGTTAACGTAATTTCTTCTTCTTCTTCTTCTTTTCTTTTTGTCCACGACCCATTCGTCTTTCTTCGCGCGCGTGAATACCAATTCTCTTAATTAAAGTCGAGCGCGCGCGCGAACTTTTTCATTTTCTTGATGTATGTGCGACGAGGAGGCGCGTGCGGACTGCATCGCAATTAATTTACACGTACGCGTACTCGACTGTATTTATATGTACACACGAGGCACTTGAGATATTACAGGAAACTCGCGGGAACGGAAATTAATTACTTTATTTAGTATATATTTCTTTTTTCCCCCTAGCGGCAAAAGATAAATGGGCAAATAGTCGTGTCGATTTAACGTAACGAAACTACTCGACCTTATCGACGCGTCGCGATGTGGTAATTGCTTCTGCTTTTTTTTTTTGCAGCAGCAGTTGTTGTATCGCAAACATGTAATACACTTGAAACAATGAAACGGCCACTCGAGTTGCGCGTCGATCGCCATCGAGTGCATATATTTACGCCATTATATCGAACAAACATAAACTTATGAGCGGCGTACATTTATATAAACAGCAATAATGAAGTACGCGCGGCGAGGCGCAGAGAAAGAAAGAAAAAGCCAACTTTCCATCGCTACGATGTTTATTACGAGTAAGAAATAAAATAAATGTAAAAAAAATAAAACAGAGGCGCACTCGTTATCGCGCTCTAATCTCTCTCTCTTTTCTATACACCCACGCGCGCGCGCGCGAGGCTACTTTCGCCGCGCTTCCTAATGCATATTATATATAATCATCATCGATATAGCTCGCGGCTAATTTCCTACGCACACACACAAACACGAGGTTAATTATAACGAGTCTCGCGCGTGAGTCACTTTAAGATACACATGTCATTTGTAAATTATAATTGCAGTGCCGCTGTTTATCGATCGCCGAACGATAAAATATTATCTTTGGATACATCATAAATGTATATACGCGAGTGCGCCTGCCGTTCATTATTAAGTGGCTATACTGGAGCGATCGGTACACATATCATCTACAAATGACAATGTAACGAAGCCCATTCATGTATATTATAATAGGCGCACACGTAACGCGATTCGATCGGTTGGTGCGCACGCGCGCGCGCGTCACAAAGTCCGCAGAGAAATTGTTGCATATCGTTGCGATACGAATGCAAAAAATAGCAAACGTAGGCTGTGTCCATCGAGTGACATTCGCCCCTGTGCCGAGCAATATTAAGCGTACGATATGAACAATATCCTTCGACGAGTCACGGGCTAATGGGAGATTTTATTTATTCACCGGCCTGGTACGTCGTATGATTCGCGTGCATCGCGCGGACACCGCTGGCCCTATTCATTTCCGTGTCACCGGCGCGCGAGACAGACAGAGAGAAGAGGGAAAAAAAATATACCATATAGGCACGATATACATATTTGCATGAAATAGATATGTAGGTAAGTGCGACGGATAATTGCACGCGACGCAAATTTCTACGTCAAAAAAAAAAGTAAAATGAAATAAAAGCCAACTAGTAAAGAGCTGGAAAAATGGAATTATTCATGCGGAGCGACACACAAAAAGTCTTTTTTCTCTTCTTTCGTGTGGGATTTTTTTTTTTTTTTTTTTTTCAACGCAGCGCTGTAAATCGAGAGCGCGCGCGCGCGCGAACGCGACAATGCGTCGACTTTGCGACCGAGCGTACGAGTTAAAAAAAAAAAAAAAAAAACAGAGGAATTACAGTCGAGTTAGCCTCACGTCGAACAGCACGTTACATATAATTCGGCTGTGTAAAAAGCGAATCATTGTGCGTGCTGGCTACGAAATAGAGAAAAAAAAAGCGCGCGTAAAAATTCAAATAAACGGCATAAAACGCGCGCCGATTGAATATCATTAACACACTGCAGCGGGCACTGCGCCGGGCATATAATACATACGTAGGTACACACATTTATGAGCGCAGGACTCGCGCATTGTTACGCAAAATAGATTTCCATTTGGAAAGTAGATCGAACGCGGCGATTCCTGCCATTTCTGCGGTGGCGGCGATATATATAATATATATGTGTGCCATATCGTGTACCGGCGTGACTCGCTGTAATTTTCGACGTTAGTTGCGTAAAATGTGCAGTTCGCACATGTATAAATGCATGTACGCGCGTCGTTTTCACTTTTTTTTTGCGCCTTCCCATTACGTAGTGCGCCGAGTGCAATAAAAAGTAAGAAATTAGAAACGAAAAAGGAAAATGTCCGTATAGTATCCAATGGACGCGGTCAATTTATTATAGCGTCTTGATTTCGACGGTGGATGCATTTCATCGATTATACAGTAAGCTCTCGAGGAAGTAGATCGCGTCGCTCTCCACTTGCACCCTTTCTCGCGCCGCGCGTATATGCGCTCCTCCTCCCCGAACTCTGTTCTCGGCGCGACTCGATATTCTTTCGCGTTTTATTTTTTTTGCCGTCGTCGCGTCGCACCAGCTTTTACCGAAAGAAGAAAACCCAACGACGACGAGCGAAGAATACGGGAGAGCAAAAAAGAATCTAGCACGAGCGAGCTCAGCAAGATGTATGCACGATGATGCATCGGCACAATATACACAATGGAGTCTCTGTACATGTATTCAGCGAGCTGTCGTCGGAGAGCAACGTGATTTTTCTCTCTCTCTCTACTCGCTCTTGCCCTGCTGACACTCATCATCGTCGTCGACGGCCAGAGATCGTGTCATTGTTATTATACACACGTATATAAACAAAGTGCCGCTGTGCTCTCTCGACCCGTTGCTTTTTGCTTATTAGACTCGTCGCGTATGTATAATATAGCTCGCAGACGAAGCATTCGATGCAATACGCTTGTGCGCCCGTATGTATGCGGCACACATTATATCGTATACACACAAGTGGGTGTCAATGTTAAACGTTTTGCCGCCGGCGCGTGGCCCTCGTCTCGTTGTTTGTGCCGCTTCTGCTCCGTCGACATGGCGTTATTATAACGTATACGCAATCGTTTCAGCTCTTGGAAATTGACCGCGTCGCTGAATTCGGCTTTCCCGAACTCAAACTCGGCGCTGATCGCTCGACGAGCTTGAGAGCTTTTTTCTTTATTTATTCTCATATTTATCGACTCTGACTTTTTTTCCTCTTCTTCTTTTTCTTTTGGCCGGGCGCGCGCGCGCGACAAAATAAAATTCAGATTGTTTATTTTTTTTTAAAGCCACGCACAAGGTCGAACTCGAATCCGATCGGTCGTTGCGTGAATGTATAACGTACCTAATTCATCGTTTATGGATGACCGCACAAAAGCGTTTAAATGACACGAATATATAATACGTATATTTTTCGCTAGTACCTTATCAGAAAATTAGAGATCTTACCTCGGTGCATCTTACAACCATATACCAGTTTAGTAGGACTCGTCAGGCCTAGACGCGGCTGTGTGCCCGCAGCGGCATTCACTCGAAAGCCCATTCGACGCGTCTATTGTACGCGACTCGTGCTTTTTTTACGGACACGCAACCGCATGTGTGACACACAAATATATACGCGCAAGATAAGTATCTCTCTCACCGCTCGCGTCATGTATGTATATTTCTTTTCTGTTCCTCCTACCTCATTCTTTGCAATTCGACTGTGAAAATATCTCGACAGAGTCAGCTATAACTTGCTCGTAATTAAAAGCTCTATTCCCCTCGTTTTTGTTAATTTTTCATCGTAGTGAAAAAAAAAAAATTTACACGCGTTATAGATACGTCTATATACTCTA